ATCAATCAATTAGAGCAACACGTTTATAGCATCCCCAGCAGACTATATTTACATACAATGGAGAATGTACTTGTGATTGCAAACAGGCATAAAACGTTATTTCTTGAGAGTAAATCCTCTTCCTGCGGAGAACTGGCATCAAGGCACAGGGTTCACACAGGAAGAGCCCTTGAGCACAGAGGAAGAGTTTCATTAATGATAGTTATTGTTCTGAACTGCTTAGAGTCAGGCAGACCATTTCCTGAAATCTCAGACATGATATCTACTGAGTTTATCTCATTTTATGTAGCTGGCAGCATATGCTAGATTTAAGTTAATTTGTAGTGTGTTCCTCTGCTTTATAAGAAAATAGAGGACATTAAAAAATGTTGATAATTTTAGCTTTCTACATGACTAAAAACAAACCGTGTCTAAAATACTACAATATGTAATGAATTTTAAAGGCTAACTCACTGTGAAAGTTAATATTGTCACCTTGACAAGATCCAAAATCACCGAGGAAACGCCTCTGGGCATGCCTGTGAGGGATTACCTAGATTAACTGGACTGGGAAAACACACAGTAGCTATGGACAGCACCATTCCATGGGCTGGGGGTCCAAACTGAATGAGCTGAGCACCATGTCCATCTCTCTCTGCTGTGTCCAGCCTCTCAAGCCCCCATATGTGATCCCCACCATGGTGCTGTACCTGGAACCCTGAATCAAAATAAACACTTCTTTTCTTTGGTTGCTTGCATCAGACATTTTGTAGGAATGACAAGATGAACATAATACACTAATAACTATAAATTTAATAATTTAATAAGAAAGTAGTCACCATTTGTGTAGACTTCTAGCATTTATATTTTTGGCATTTATGAGAAATAAACACCAAAAAATTACAGTGAAAATAGTTTATGAAGTTCAGTGCTGTTCCCATGACCAGAGTTACTAACATTTTTAGAAAACAATACCTCAATGAAATGGGCAAAAACAACATTCATTACATACATATCTTGCCACAAAGAATTTTCTAGAATCTGTCTCAGTAAGTTGTGTTAAAGTCAGCGATTTGTACATTCTGTGGCTGTATTATTATTTTTTTCTAAATTAGCTTTCAGACTTCTGACAACTGAATGTTCGCCAGCACTGAGTCAAATTTTCCTACCTTCTAAATGAGCGTGCTTCTTGATTTCTGTGTACTCCCCATACAAGGCCAGTCTGTATCCCATCTGGGAATCAGAGATGGATTCAGAAAGGCTCCTGTCTAGGCTCAGCCTCTGTCTTAAGCAGCACTTGTATACCTTGTGCTCCAATCTGACCTGATGCTTTCCTTCTCACACAGGCCTGCCATTCCTGGGCTCTGTAACAGCCTACCTTGGATAAGAAGACCTTCCAACACTACTCCTCAGCCTCGTTGCTTGAACTGATGGAGCACTGAGCTTAGTCTCTCAAGGGGAGATGCTTCCTGGGATTTCATATAGAAGTTCTCATATATTCTTCCCCACTTGTGGTTCTGACAACCTTGTGAATTTGAGCAGCACATTCCTATCAAGGTAATTTAGTCACCAAACAACACTGGGAGATGAAAAACTTGCTTTAGAATTTTCAGGCCCTGGTGACTTGTCACAGGCTGGCTACTGTTATAAATAGGTGGCTCCAGGTTCTTATGGGACCTCATTTAGGAATATCATGATTTTAGCTAAATCCCATCAATTAGTAGACAGGATCTATTAGCTAGCTGACTATGAGCTGATTAGTCATTCTGAAGGTGGAGTGTTTTACTTATTGATTTGGTTATTAATTCACTATACATTGAGGTCACTAGAAGTAGCCACCGTAAAATGCTTTAGTGATGCAACACAAAAACTGATGCAGGGAGACAGCTCAGCACATAAGAGTACTTGGTGTGCAGGCACGAGGATGATTTCAAATCCCCAGCTCCCATGTGTAAGTCAGGTGTGTGTGTGTGTGTGCATGTATGTCTGTGGCAGGGGGCGGGGCAGGATGGCTGCCAGCCTAGGTCGAGACCCTGTCTCAAGGGAATAAGGAGCAAAGTGATAGTGCTGGACATGTGATGTCTTCCACTGGCCTTCGTGCAAGCTGCACATACACATGTGGACACACACCTGATACAGGCTCTCTCTTCAGGAGGAAGACAACATAAAAAGGATATAACCTCTGAATTACAGCAACAATCACATTTAATCAGAATAATTAATTATTCAGATGATCCACATGACACAGTGGTAATGATGGCAGGCAGGCTACTGGGGAGGGAACCATACAGAGCCCGGGGAGAGAGCAGACAGAAGTGATCTGAGAAAGACTAGTGCTTCCCCTCTGTGCACAAAGACCAGGGACTGACGGCCAAACAGGCTTGTTAGGGGCCAAGTGTGAAAATGCATTTGTTTTAAAATGAAACACAGTCTTAGTTTGTCTGGCTTTCAGCGTCTGGCAGTCTTAGCTGTGACCTCTCACAGACTGCTTCTCCTCACTGCCTGACACTGGTGATATCGCTAAGGTAAAGGGCCTGGGATGCTGTTGCTCTTGCTAAGGTAAAGGGCCGGGGATGCTGTTGCTCGTGTGTGGTCCACGGCTGTACATGCTTAGTGCACTGGCTTTCTGGGTTGTCAGTAGTCTTTAGGACACAACAGAGCAGTTTACTGGCATGAGAGTGGTTTAAACCCAGCTCTTCTTCTCTTGGTTTCAAAAATGCCTCCCAGGCTTATGCATATCCCTCCTCCTTTGAAATTTATTATATAAAACTTTTTTTTTCAGTGAATAGTGCTTTTGTTTTTACTGTTAAAATACAACATTTTCTAGTTTAATCCAGTTTAATTGCAAAACTATATAAAAACATTTATAAGAAGTTATAATTATGGACACCTGACTCTGCAGTATAACCAACCCCAGGGCAATTGCTGAGTCAGCTCCTTGGACTTTTAACATGAGTCAGCACTTAGCTAAGGGACTAGACTTTAAACCACCACTGATTCTGAGTTGACAGCAAATGTCTAAGCAAGGCTCTGTCTGCTCAGTGTCAGTGTCAGTGACTTTTTCAGTTTTGTCGGATGAGATATTGATTCAATGATGTATTCAACATTTCTTACAAAAAAAATCTGAGTCTTTTCACTCTAGTGTGGACTAGTATGTGGAGACAAGCTAGTATGTGCTGGTCTCCAGGGATTATGGGCAGGGCTCTTTCAACAGCCTTCACTGGTGTTTCTTCAGTGCAAGTAAATCACATGGGCTCTGGCTAGCTTAAAGGGAAAGTGGACCCATACGCTTCAAGAACACCTGGGTTATATCACAGAGTCCAAGACTCAGAACGTAAGGTGTAAGCAATCTGACCTTGGAGGAGAACACAGCTGCCTCTCAAGGGTTCAGTAGGTGACTTTCCAAATTAGCTTTTCACAAGAGTCTCAGTAAGGGTTAGGTCTTCACCTGCAGGTCTCTCAATCAAGGAGTGAATAGTTGGTTTGCCTGTGGCAGTCATCCCTGTGTTTTGTAGGGTTTATCACTGTGTACCAATGGCCATATCAGCAAGACTCATTATGCAGAGTACCAGCAGTGTTTCACAGTCTAAAAATCATTTCTCTGTCATAAATGTGGAAACTGAGCCTTTAGTGGGCGAGGCTGTGTGTCTAAAGGACCAACTTAGAATACTATGACAAGCCAGTTTATACACATGAGGTGCTGCTCATGGAGGGAGCACAGCAGCCTGAAAAAGCAGAGCCTGTGTTAAAAGGCTGGAGTTTGAATCCCACATGAGAAACTCAAGACATGTTCTTTTAATAAACTCCGACATGTCACCTCCTATCCACGGTTACTGACATCATATGAAAATGTTTGGCACAGAGCTTACAAAGATGGGAAGCTGGGGGTCTTTTCCACTGAAGCACAGTAGTGCCACACCTGTAATCTGAAAGTAATATCATCTGTCAAAAAGGCCCCACTGAACCTTTTACTTCTTTATTCACCTGAACTCAAAGGTAGGAAAGAGCCAGAGGACAGGCTGAGGAAGTGAGGCTGAGGTTCACGTCTCAAGGACAGAGTCATACCTCTGCAGTAAGAAGTGCCTGATCATCTAATCTCCTGGTGTATGAAACCAGACATGCTCTAGGCTCTTTGGATAACCAGAGCAAAACTCACAGTACATTTAATTGGAAATATACTTGAAATGTCACTGAACACTATTAGCTAATTCAGCATCAAGAATCCCTGCACAAACATCGGATGTCACAAATAGAGTTCCAGGCATCTTTGAGAACATCCTCATGGAAAAGGTACCACAGCAATCCAAGTGAAATAGCATGGGACCTGGTGGGTATCCCCAGCACCCATGGGCTGACAGATCTAACAGATTCCAAGTTATTTCAGAGAGCAATTACTTTGTATAGAAAGCAAAGCTGGAAACCCAAGAAGAAAAAGGAAAGAGTATCCTGTGGTGGTCAGGGGTGAAGCAGAGACAAGACTAGACACTTGCCTGATACCTTTGCCCTCTCTGGACCTTAGCAACAGTGACCTACGCCCCACATTAACCTAAGGATGGCTGGCCCATCTGAGTGATGTGTGATGATATCTGACATTTAATTTGGAAAGAGTCAAGTGACCTTAAATACTGGGCCCAGATGTACTGGCTTGTTTCTAAATTCAAAACATCCTTCCTTTTTTACTTGTAGTAACTCAGGCCAATGGCTTGCTTACTCCAAATTTTAAGTTTCTATGATAATAATTATAAGATTCTTGGTAAATATTGTCACTATTTAATGAGAAGTGCTCACAAAACACAATCATTCATGGGTGCAGAAATTTGAGAAAGAAGTGATACTTGTAAAGAATTAATAGACTGTGGCCTGGCACAGTGGACCATGCCTTTCCTAACACTTAGGGGACAGAGGAAGGTGGGTCTCTCTGATTTTAAAGCAGGACTTTACACAACAAGACCCTGACTCAAGGGGAGGAAAAGGAAGGAAGAAATAGTAAAGAGAAATAGAAAACATGATGACAACAAAGCAATTTTTTGGAGTTTCTTTTATTACACTGAGAAATCCCAGAAGTACAAAGCCCTGAAAGCAGAAGCATTTCAGAGACAGCATCTGCATAGGTACACTATTGTCAGTTTTGATGTTGAAACTGCTCATGATTTCATACTGGAGCACACTGCTCATGAATTAAGAACATCCCGATGAACCCATATGTCTGATATTTGATTAAATTCCCATAGATGTCTAGAATTCCAAGTTATGTTCTTTCTAGAGATTGATTAGATTATGAAAAATGATTTTCAGGCCTCTGAAGAAAGGAAGGAAGCAAGCCTGTGCCACACGCCCAAAGTTTAAATGTGGCAGCTGTTCAAAGCCTGGTCAGCTGGTGTTGTTTATTTTTGATAAATCAATGAAAACGCACAGATTCACCTTTAGAGAAGTGGTCAGGTCAGTCACAACAACGACCACGTCAGTGCTTCTATCCACTCGACTCCTCAGAAACAAGCGAATGTGTCGTTACACTGTAGCATAAATCTTAGAGAGTCTTATTAATAAAATCAAACCCGAGGCCAGTTATTGCGGTAAATACTGGAAGGTCAGAGAACCAGAACAAGCCACAGCTAACTTCACCTGGCCAACTTCTCAGCTGGTCTTGTTTCCTCAGACTGGGCGCTTCTGTGTCCTCATATCCCAGTGGCTCTCAGCTGAACTGTGCTTCTTGAAAGCCTGAAAGCTTAACCAGCCAAATGCCTCTAGTTTCTAGTCCTCACGCCTTATATACCTTTCTGCTTTCTGCCTCACTCCCTGGGATTAAAGGCTTGCTTTCTGGGATTAAAGGCGTGAGTCACCATGCTTGGCTGTATCCCTGAACACGTGGATTTCTGCTTCTGGAATGCTAGGATTAAAGGCGTGTGCTACCACTGCCTATCCTCATGTTTAATATTGTGGCTGTTCTGTCTCTGACCCCAGATAAGTTTATTAGGGTGCACAGTATTTCGGGGAACACAGTACCACCTCATTACACAAATCACCATGAGGCTTCAAAAGGCAATCTTTTACCAAACAGTGTCACCAGGCCACCTGAAGCTGTATTGGTTACCCCATCAACTTTGGGTAACATACCACTTTTCCCTGACTTTGGGTCATATATATTCTTCCATTCTACTTTTAACAAAATAATAGAGAATAAGTTAGATCCATTGATGGTTCTTCTAGATACTGCTTTGGCTCATCCTTGACCTGGAAACCAGCTGTTTAATCAGAAAACAAAAGCATCTTTCTAAGTCACAGCATCTACTAGAAGTCTAGTGATTGACACAATGGCCACGGCAAGTAGCCTGTCATGTTCCCTTTATTCAATGCCAATAGGCTCCATGGACCTTAGAGTACTCAGCTGCTTCTGGGCGCAGGAGAGGAACAGCTTCAGAGTAGGCAGGCTTAATGACAGGGACGGGTTGGCCAGCGTGTCTCTATTCAATGTCAACAGGCTCCGGAGCTATGAGAGCACTCAGCTGCTTCTGGGCGCAGGACAGGAACAGCTCCAGGCTGGACAGGCTGCGTTGGCGGGTGACTTGATCGAGCTGTTGATTGTTTAGAAAGAGGAAGAGAGAGAGAGAGAGAGAAACTTCAGTTGGGAGGAAGCCAATATGATGCCAATGAGACCACCAGGAGGGGCTTTCTGTGTGAGAAGACCTGAAGCCCAGTGGGACTTCCAACCATCTTGCCCATGCAATCACTGTCGCGGGCCTATTATCTGGGCTGTGAGAGTGACCGTATGCTCTCACAGCTGACTATGGCCTGTAGTTACCGGAGAAGCTGTAGGTAGACTATCAGAATGATTTTATAAAATATGAGCACAAATATGCTGGTTCTTACAAAAGAGATCAAAACCCCTCAAAGATCCTATCGATACCACAGATGCACAGAACAGAAAGGAAATCAATCAGTTACATCACACGTGGAGCCAGGAGGGATGCTGAATGAAGTGACACCCTCAATTAGCCAAGTGTTGTGGGGTGGAGAGGACTATGTTAAAAAAAAAAACCCAACAAAAAACAAACAAACAAACAAAAAACTGAAGGGGTTGAGGAGACAGCTCATCAGTTACGGTCAAGAGTAGGTACTGCTTCTGCAGAGGACTAGAGTTCGGTCCCCAGTACCCACAAAGAGAGGCTCATAATTGCCTGTAACCCCAGTTCCAGGGGACCTGAGGCCCTCAGTGGACTCTGAGAGTACCCACATGCACATGCCTGCACCACACAGACACAAACACATACATAAGTAAAAATAAAATCAATCTTTAAAAAATATTCAATAATGTTGAAACCTATATGATCTATTTCTCCTGTTAAGAGATTTTAAATTAGGTTAATTCAGTAGATCAATGGTGATCTAATGCAGTGATCAAAACCAGGTTGAGCAAACACAGTGATCTGGATGAGAACATTCTGGATGAAGATGATGTTGCTGATGGTACAGAAAGAAATATGCTAGCAATGAGAAGCTGGTGCCCACAGTTTAGACAAGGGGAGCCTTCAAGAACGCTCTGTGGGGTTCTATTTTATAATGTAAACCTGTCATATCCTTCTTATAAGCAATCCTAAATCCAAGTGAGAGTTCTCTATTAAACTGCACTTAATAATCCACTGAAATTCAGGATGATTAGAAGCTGGAAGACAAAACTTTCAAAGTATCCAAGAGTCAGCTGACAAAGAATGTAATTTAGCAAAACAGTTGCGTAGAGGGACTGGGCTGGACAAGACTCCCTTCAGTTCTGGGAAGCTGAGGTTTTCACAAATGTTCTGCAGAGTTCCGGCTCATCTTTCCTTCTCAACCCTTTTCTTCTTCCTTTGTCATATGATGCCTCTGGATAGCTATAAAAACAAATAGACATTCCTCCTACTCACAGGATCATAAATAAGAGGACCCTCGAAGTTTTAGTTCCAGGTGAACAGAGACATGGTCTGCCTTGCAAATGACTGTCTGGAAGTGTTAGACACTTGTCTATTTTTCTGAGGATGACTGCACTGATCTGTGCCCAAGCCTAACAAGGGGCAGGGCACCTACTGGGAAATGGCTGTGTATCCTAAATTCCAAGAGCGACAGGAGGTCCAACCTCATTCAGAAGTTGGGATACTAAAAAGACATTTTAATATGTGCAGGGCACGTGTATGTGTACACACACAGACACACACACACACACACACACACACACACACACACACACACACACACACACACTGTGTTGTGTCTTTGAAGCAATAAGAAAATTTAAAATCCAAGTGTACACCATTCATGTGAGAAAATGTTCAAAACTATCTTGGACAAATTCAGTATGTGGAATTTCTATGGCATATAAGCTGATTACTCAGGTAGTAACAGGTGTGACCAAGTTGCTTTCCAGAGTGAGTATACCAAGTCATCAGTCCCCAGCTTGAGAGGACCCTGTCCTCATTCTGTTCTTTAAACAGCTGCATCATTCCCATGTAGTGGGTAGCCATTCCAGCTTTGATCTGGAAGTTCCAACCCCCATTGAGACTTCGGCAACTGTCACGCCTACAAGGCGGGGCGAAAGGAGGCACCTGGGGACCCGAGATCTGGATCGGCGGGCGCTCTCTCTGTTGCGGGACCCTGGACTGGAGAGGTGGACCAAGCAGAGCTCCAGAGAACACCGCTGGACTGCGATACACCTTCCCCAGACCCCGCGACCTACCTATCCCTTAATTTGTAAGTTACGCCATTAAATAAATCTCCTTTTAACTACGTGGAGTGGCCTTAATAATTACACCAATATTCCCATGGTAAGTTTACAGTTTAACACAGCTAGTAGATGTTTTAATACTCTACTACATGTAAGCCTGTGGTGGGATTCCTTGATGGATTATTGACACGAGAGCCCCACAGCATTGTTGGTGGTGCCACCCGTGGATAGGTGGTCCTGGATTCTATAAGAAAGCAGGCTGAACAAGCCTGTAAGCAGTGTTCCTCTGTGGCCTCTATATCAGTTACTTCTCCAGGCTCCTAACCTCACTGCCTTTGGTGATGGACTATGATGTGCAACTCTAAGGTGAAATAAATCTTTTCCTCCCCAACCTGCTTTCAGTCAGTTAAAAAAAAACAAAAACAAAAACAAAAATAACAACAGAGCAACAGAAACCCTTACAAAGACCTATGCAGAGTACAGCTTGTAGCAACTGCTTAGGTCACAGACTGCTGCTATCCAGAAGATGAATTGTGCTCTCTCTCCACATGTGCAGGTATCTGTCTTCACAGTTCTCCACTGTCCACTGTGTTCCTGGCCTCATCTGTCTCCACACAATGTTACACTATCTTACTACAGCTGTATAACACATCAATCTATCACATATGGTCATTTTAAAAGAGGGTTAACCAGTAGACACTTGTAACAAAATTAACATTTGAAAGGAAGAGACCAAATGGAGTCTTCAACTAATTTTTCAGAAAGCACCAAACAAGCAAAACTCGGAAGTACATTATCTTCAGATGTAAACACAGGCAGAAGAGCCTTCCCTTTCCAGGTGGTTTGGAGGTGGCTTCATGGGCGTTCGCTTCACTTATGCTCCACTATCCATGCCAGCCTGAATATGGAAAAATATCCACAACAGACATGATGGTGCATGCCTGTTATTCCAGCACTGGAGAAGTGGAAGCAGGGGTACCAGGAGTTCAAGGGCCAGCTACATAAGGAGTTTGAAGCTTTGGGACCAGAAGACTCTGCCTCAAACAAAACCACAACAAACAACAGCAACAAAACAAGAAAAAAAGCCTCCCAGAAAAATCTAAAGCTTAACCAAGAGCTCCATTCAAAACAAAGCTGATGCCTCTTCACAGGCGTCAGATACAAGTATCATCATCTGAGTAAGGTAACTCACAATGCTTAAACTGGCACCCACTCACCAAACCTCCAGTGAGTGCCACCTTACCCAAGAAGTCTTTGCATGCTAAGATGGGTTCACACTGGATAAAAGTGGGCCCTAAATGCAACCAGGGATGCCTTCATAAGAGACACCAAGACACAACATAGAGGGGGTGACAAGGACCACGGTATCCCCTGTGCCTGCAAGGAGAGCCTGGCTCAGACATCTTGGCTTTGGGCTTCATGCCTGTCGTAAATTGATTGAGCAGCCTTTGACAGCTAGCTCAGGTGGGGTCCACTCCCTGGGAGGCCTCTTTGCCACTGCAGCTTCTTATCCTGTGTCCTGTGGGGACCTCTGTGTCACAGTGGCTTCTCATCCTGTGTCCTGTGGGGACCTCTGTGTCACAGTGGCTTCTCATCCTGTGTCTTATGGGGACCTCTGTGTCACAGTGGCTTCTCATCCCGTGTCCTGTGGGGACCTCTGTGTCACAGTGGCTTCTCATCCCGTGTCTTATGGGGACCTCTGTGTCACAGTGGCTTCTCATCCCGTGTCTTATGGGGACCTCTGTGTCACAGTGGCTTCTCATCCTGTGTCCTGTGGGGACCTCTGTATCACAGTGGCTTCTCATCCCGTGTCCTGTGGGGACCTCTGTGTCACAGTGGCTTCTCTTCCTGTGTCCTATGCAGCTTTGCGCAGTAATGTATTCTATTTTTACAAAGGGCTTTCTGCTGAGTTTGGAAAATACAAAATTTCAAGTGATTCTGTTAAATTTTTATTACTTTAGGTATTAGTATACGAAGTCATAGGTTTCATTCTGGCATTTTCAAACATAATTTGGTGATCTTCCTGTGACCTCTCACCCTCAGCTGCCCCCATGTTCATGTCACATGTGTTTCATTACCCACCTCCTTTCCACACAACTTCTTTCTCCCGTTTGTGGTCCCTGTTCAGGCTTTATGGCCTACCCCCTCAGTCCCAAAGACACACATATTTGAACATTAACTGTTAGGATGAGTACATGACAGAGAACATGTGGTACTTTCCTCTCTCAGTCTGGGTTACTTTGCTTCATAGAATAATTTCCAGACCAATCCATTTATTCTGCAAATTTCACTTTTCTTTATGGCTAAATAAAATTCCATTGTGGATCTACACTACAGTTTTTCATTATCCATCTGTCAACAGATCTCTAGGCTGACTCTACTTCCTTGCTGCTATGAATGAAGGAGAAATAAACAGGGATGTACAAACATCTCTGTGGAGGACACGGAGTCCTTAGGGTATGTGTCTGGATAAGATGGAGTTAGGCCATATCAGAGTCACTGAAACCTCCACCAACCATTGGATGGCCTTTCTGACCGGAATGAGATAAAAGAACAAAGCAGTTTTAATTTGCATTTCTCTCATGGATCAGGACGCAGAACCCTTTAAGTACTGGCTGGTCATTTGTGTTCCTTCTTTGGAGAACTGCCAGTCCTGTCAGTCCATTAGCAATCAGAAGGGTTTTCTGTTTGCTTGTTTTGGTGTTTAATTTTTGTAGTTATTTATATATTCCAGACACTGAGCCCTTGTCTGCAGTATGACTGGGAAATACTTTCCCCTATTCTGGAGGCCATCTGCTCTTACATCTGATAGTTTCCTTTTCTGTGTGAGCTTGTAAATCGTAAGTACTCATACCTGCCAATTCTTAGAGCTATTTCACG